TCTGAAGTTAGATTCTAGTAGATTTCTGAATATTGCATACCTCTTTGAAAGACTATTTATCTTTATAAAGACTTCATCTGCATCTTCTGCCTACCCAGGTGGCTTACAAATAAACTTCCACAATGTATCACTTTTGTTTCTTTTTCCCCTTTTATTCTTACCCAAATTAGACAAAGATTTGAATAAAACAAGTCAGAGTTTTTGCCACACAAATTATTTATTTGTTTATATTTATTACCGGAATCTCTATGCTGCTGTACTTCAAAACAGCTTTAAGCAGCATACGACAGAAATAAAAATTTAAAACACTGAAAATAGTGGCAATTAAAACATACTAAGATAGCACTAATCAGTGGAAGTAGATCATAATAAATACATGAATAAAAATATTAAAAATAAAAAAAATAAAAACCTGATACATTAGTAGTGCAAGCTCACTGGGAGTAATTGTAGGCTGAAAAGCCAGCTCATCTGAGAACAAGCTATGGGGCCAAAATCAGAGAAATTTCTAAAAGCCAGTCCAAAAGTCAAGCTGTAAGTTCATTCACAGAGCAATAAATCACATGATTTATGGCTTGGCACTCTCCCAAGGTCAGGGATTGACTCCTTGGTGTCTGAATCAACAGCCATCTCTACTGAGTCTAACTCATCCCTCACAAGTGTGTGACAGCCTCAGAATCAGAGAAGTCGGTAACAGTTACAGGTAGTCCTCACTTACTGACCACAATTGGGACCAGCAACTCCATCACTAAGTGCCATGGTTGCTAAATGAAAAATCAAATGACTGCACCAGACTTACACCATCACTTCTGCTTCCATCATTAAGCGAATCACCGTGGTTGTTAAGTGAGACATCATGTGAATATGACTTGCGATTTCACTTCCATGTTCTCCATTAATTCTGCTTGTTGGAAGCCAGTCAGGAAATTCGCAAATGGTGATCATGTGACCATGGGATGCTGCAACAGTTATAAATGTACACTGGTTGCAAAGAGCCGAAATGGCAATCATGTGATCACGGGACGCTGTGATGGCTGTAAATGTGACGATTAGTCACAAAGCTGCTTTTTTTCAACCGCTGTAACTTCAAATGGTTGCTAAACAAGGTAGCTGTAAGCGAGGACTACCTATAGGTAGAAGACAGCTATTCAAAAAGTGGACATTAGTCATGATGGATTAAGGTTCCAAGCAACATGTTAACAAAAAAAGGAAGAATTAAACTCAGGGATGATGAACTTTTTCCAACAGAGGTAGGCTAGAAATTGGTAATGGAGACAACAAATTTATGCTGGTACAATTTTTTCCTGACTCAAGGATAGGGGCACTGCACTTTAACTATATTCTGGGAAAAGAATTAATATTTCCCAAGACTTTGGTTACCCCTTCCATCTACAGGGCATTGAGTGGGTCCCTATTTATTCATTTTTTTTCAAAGTAATGTCCAGTGGTGCTACTCCTCAGACCTTAACTGGTTAGACCCCTGCTGCAGTCACCAGATCCATGGCTGCCACTCACAACTGTTCAAACAAGTAAATGGTAACACTTAAGGAAATAAAACTAAAGAAGATTAATTATAATTAAAGAAAAAATGTAACACTTTTTGGACCAATAATGACATATAAAGTAGAGGCCTGAGACTTATACCTGTAATAGGGAAATAAAGCCAATTATGATAGTTAATAAGATCATCTGAGCCAAAAGATGCTAAAGCAATTACTGCAGCATTTTTTTAAAAAAGCCTGACCATTGATATTCCTTTAAATTGTTCAAAGGAGCTTTTATAGAACATGCATCTGAGGATTCAAGTACTGCTGCACAACCAGCCTGACAGAGTTGTTTTTAAGATGCAAGGATTCTTTTTTTTTTTTAATGGGTTGGGAACACTGTTTGCTCATTGGTCTGGAAAATCCAATATTATTTGTATTGCTATCTTGCCACTTCTAGGGCATAATTATTCATGTTTGGACAGGGAAGGAGTAGCTGTTATCTTTAGAATGTAAAATTGCATAATAATGCATACATGGGACATAATTTAGGATTTGCACTGTCCTGCCAACCCTGGTTCTGCTTGTAAATAAATCAAAAGTAATTCCTCTATAGCTGGACTGCACAGCTGGGCTTTGGAAAGTTTATTGGGCATAACCAGGAGAAAGCAATGGGAGGGCCAGACAATCAATCTCCTTCCTTCCTGCCTGCCTGCCTGCCTGCCTGCCTTCCTCTGTAAATATAAAGTGTTTTTTCTGCCACTATAAAAATTACAATTTGGTGGCCACAACTTCCACAAGTTGTTAATCATAGGCTTTGAAGGGAGCTTCGGATTGCAACTCTATAGCTTCACCAAGTGAACAGAGATAAATTATCACCTTGGCTGTGACCAGGATAATTTTTGACATCAGGGGCTACATGTCTCCCAAAGTTTTGAGTGCAGTGCCCAGAATCCCTCCAAAAGCCGCTGGCCATTTTATTTATTTATTTTAAAAAATTCTATGCTACTTCCTGTTAAAAAAAAAAAATCTCAAAGCAGTTTACAATTAGCAAAGCAGGTTAGAATTAATGGTAACTTTTAATATGACAGACACAGGAGGCAACCATAAAGAACTGTAATTCTATAATTTTATCTTAACAGTTAAATGAAAAACTAAATATAATTTAAATATGTTTCAACTATTAAATTAAATTACCCTTGTGCCCATATGCCTCTTTACTCTTCAGCTGTGCAGCATGCTTCCCAAAAGCCAGTCCAATAAAAGTTACATACTCTTGCTATATGGAAAAAATAACAATTTATTTCCAAAACTGTGCTACAAGTTTTTTGTAGCCCACTGTCACAGTTCCCTCAGCCTGTACTATTTTCACCACTCATAAAAATCCCTCCTTTGTGAGAACTAAGTGGAGCCTGTATGTTCAGAAGTAGTATACAGTACTTCCTAGTAAGTCTTGCTAACACAAAACAAAGAAAGTTGTTGCCTCTGCACCTTCTAAGATATCCAGATGGATTTGATGAAACAAAGCACTACATTAGCATATCTACGGGGGGGGGGGAGAAGTTGATTTTGATAAATTCAGTCCCTTCACACAGTGTTTCTCAACCTCAGCCATTTTAAGCTTGTGGACTTCAACTTCCAGAATTCCCCAGTCAGGCTGGCTGGGGAATTCTGGAAGTTGAAGTCCACACAGTTTAAAGTTGCTGAGGTTGAAAAACACTGTCTTAACATATGGACTTTATCCATCCAAATTTGACTTCAGTCTAACTACTGTATCAATGTTTCTGCAAGTCATAACTATGTGGTAGACTGTAACTGTACACCAATTCTGATTCCCCATATATGATTTATTTTCACTGCATTTTTTTTCTACATTGTTTTTATTATCTTGAGCATATATCTACCATTTTCAAGAAGACTCTAAAGAATTGTTTGAAGCCCTGACCTTCATTGATAGGGAACCAGAGGAACTGTGGAATGAAATCAAAGAAGTTGCTAAAGATGAATGTAAAAGGAGATTGCCAAAGACCAAGAAACAGAAGAAAGCAAACTTGGATGTCAGAACAAATGCAAAGAATTCGCTCTCTGGAAAAATCTATAATAGTGAGAAAGGTGGAAGGAAAGAGAGGAAGAAGACTACCAGCAGCAAAGTGGATAGATTCAATTATAATGGCAATGGGCGCACTGTTAAAAGACCTGAAGGACCACATTGGGAACAGATCCTTCTGGAGAAAATCTATTTTTGTGGTCTCTAAGTGTTGACATCAACTTCATGTCACATAATCAATAGTAAAGGAACCAGAATTTTAAAAAAGATTCAGACTAGCACTTGGTAGAGTAGCAATAAAAGCCTTGGAAAAGGTATTCAGATACCATGGCATGTCTATACATAAAAAGATCAGAACTGTGCGCACAGTTGTTTTCCCTGTAACACTCTTTGGAAGTGAAAATTGGACTTTGAAGAAGCAGGATAGACAAATTATTGCCACTTTTGAACTTTGTTGTTGGAGATGATGAGTATACCATGGATACCAAAACAAACAAACAAATGAATCATTGAACGAATCAGCCCAGAGTTCTCACTTGGGGAACAAATGCCAGGCTCAATTTATCATTTTCACACATCATGCAAAGACCTAGTTCCTTTGAGAAGTCTGTAATGCTAGAAAAGGTCTAAGGGAAGAGAAGAGGATGACCAGTAGCAAGGTGGATAGATTGGATTACGGCAGCAATGGTTGCACTGTTGGAAGACCTGAAGGGCCAGAACATCCTGGAGATGGTACATTTTTGTGGTGGCGATGAATCAACTCCAACTTGATGGCACATAAGCAATCAATCAGTCAATGAATTGCTTTTGTATTTTCATTCTTTTCTTGTAAACTGCGCTCAGATGATTATAAAATGCCATGATTCTAAGATGGGGGTGAGTGAGAAATAAATGAATATGTCACAAGAACAAATAGGAAGAACACCCAGTGTATTGCAGGAAACCTTGACTGTGGACTCCTGATGAAGTGTGGCCCTTGACAGGTGTTCAAGACGAACACTACACAGCAATCTTGTGTGCCTGTTCTGAAGAAAGGTGCAGTTATTTCAGAACACTTGACTAAAAGGCGCCTTTACGTTTGTGCAGCTTTGAGTTTTCACGCCCTTTTCCTTGCAACGGCATCTCACTTTAAACCGACTGCAATCAAGGGCCGGAAGTCTTTCTACTATACCATGACGACCTAGACTCTTTGGTTTACGGGTATCGGCTTTGTTTGGGTGTTCCCCTCCTCCCCGTCGATGTTCCTCGTACGCACGCGCAAAGCGGACGCGAAGCTAGCGCCGCACGCTTCAGAGAAGTGCGCTGGGACGCACGCGTCCACACGCGCGCACGCTGTCAAGTCAACCATCCTACCTCCTTGTGCCGGCGTTCGCCGATGGGTCGGCAGCGCGCATGCGTGGTAGTGGGTAGCTGCCGCTGCCACCGCTGTGTATGTCCGTCCCTCTCTTTCTGTCTTTCACTCGCCATGTTGTGAGCTTTCTTCACGCTGACAACGACGGTGGCGGCGGCAGAGGTGGAGGTGGTGGAGGAGGAGGAGGGGGAGGGGCGGTGGCAGGAAGGCAAGGGTGGCAGGGAGGGGGCAATTGGGTCGTTATCGGCAAGAGTCTTCCGGGAGGAAGAGGGAGCCCCCTCCTTTCCGTGTCCGTTACAACAAACAGCGCTGCCCGCTCACCCCAGCCCGTGAGTATCCGGCCGTGGGAGGGAGCGGATGGAACGGAGGGGCAGCGCGCGAGGGAGGAGCGAAAGGGTAACCCCCCCCGCGCCTTTCCCGTCCCACACAGCAGTTCACCCACGTTCTTTTGTTTCGGTCCCGGGGAAAGAGCGGCTGCAGCTGCCCAGGGCCTGGCTGGTGGTTGCGCGCACGTCGCAGCCTCGCCTCCCCCCTCCTCCTTTGTGTTGCGGGGAAGTAGGCCTGTTAGGCAGGCCCGGGCTGGCCGAAGCGAGGAGGAAGCCATGTAAGGGGGGTGGGGGGCGAGCCGAGAGAAGAAAGGAGACCGTCCGTGTGGGTGTGGTGGTTGGAACGAGCCAGTATGGTGCTAGTGGGGACGTTTGACCGGGTGGGTTTGTTTCCGTTTCTGTCTCATTGTTCTTGCGTTCATGCAAGGAGTCGAAGAGGGTTTGGACGCGGCTCGCGTATAAACAGAAGAGATAATTTTGGAAGTGGGTGGCGATCTTTTTAATGGAAGGAGTGTGACGGGACCATTTGGGAGGGAATTGGGATGTTTTAGTTGGGAGGTGCACTTCAATTCTTCCAACCTTCTGGTCTTTCCACGAAGTCTGTGAGGGATGTGTGGGGCAACCGCAGGGGCGGGGGTTGAGCCGAGCGGACATCATTTGCAGAAGGGAGTGTGTGAGGGCCTATTCTTTGGTGGGGAATCGACCGACTGGAAGGAGGAATGGGGTTCTGGAGATACAGTGGATTGGTCGTGGATAAGTACTTATTTTCTTTGTTTCGGCGGCAGGATTTGTCTCAGCATACTCAGGCTTCTTCTGCAAGTGGTACATTGGAGTGCTAAAATGTTAGAGTCTTAACATGGGTCTTTTACCATAGAAACTGTATGGTAATTGATCGCTTGCTTTCATTCTAGTCTGTTGTTAATCTGAGAAAGGGTGAATGAATGCATGGAAAGGAAACAGTACTTGAAGTGGAGAGAAAATCAGTGGAATTATTCTCTTCTACTAGAAGAATTGTGAAAGGGACTGCCTCAATATTTTAAGGGTCTGTTGTAATAATCCTAGTTCCAAATAGAGATTTCCTTGTGTGGTTTCTTTGCCACTTTGAATTATAAATGATCCATTGGAGATGCTTCTTTATAGAATAAATAATAATTATTGGGAAGAAAATACACAGTAAACTGAGCTTGGTTCAAAAAGACACTTCAGCTGTTAATTTAGCCGTGATCTACTTAGCCCCATTTTCTGTATTTGTATGGTAATATTTGAACTATAAGATGACTTCATCAGTTAGGTTCACAGAACATGCTAGGCTAAAATGTGGTTGGCTAGTGATTGTAGTTCAGTATGTTGTGCAAATATATCAATTGTAGTGTTACCTGTAGTTGAAACACCAATTCATTTAGATTTTTTTTAAAGCTGAAGTTAAGTGAAATGTGTAAGAAGAGTTTGTTTTGGTGCCTGTGGGGAAAATCTCTGGGAAGAGCAGTCAGACATTATAAATGATACAAGAAAGGTCAACAAACAGGAAGTAGTGTGGGGATACCGTACCAGTAGTTTTTAGTGTGTAAGACAAGCTGCTCAGTAGAGAAAGTCTTTGAAATGTGCCTTGGTTAAAAAGTAAGATATTCTAATATATTTGTGATGCATAAAGTCATGGGATGAGCAGATAAGCAGATACTGTGCAATTTTAAAGTCATGTAACTTAAATCTTACTGTGTGATAGAGAAACAATAAAACAAGCAACTAGCATTTGTTTAAAAGTTTGGATAAATGTAGTTCTGAATAGTATTTTCCTTCTTTGTCTTTAACATAGTAAATAGTTTAGTAAGATAAATATGAGGCAGATTAGGATAAATGTGATTTTAGTTAATGTTGCAACCAGAAGAAAAAACGTTTTACAGAACTCTTGATGTATATCACTTTTCATTATATATTGAATAGGGCAGTTCAAACTATTTAAAAATGATTAGTTTGAACAATGCATTTTATCGTACATTTTATTGAAGAATCTAGAATTTTTGTTGTTGCAGATACAAACCAGTGGGACAGGATATATAAACATATGCATTTGTTCACACAGAAACCTATAGCGTTTGCCTATGTCAGAAAACACTAAGTTAGTTTGGAGATTCTTCGTGGTTCAGTATCTTAAAACTTCATACTGGTAAAAAAACAAAAACACTTTTTATGGATTGAATCCAGAACGACAAATATTGAGAGTCAGCCACCTCTGCCTTCTATATAGAGTTCTGTGTAGAGTAGCATTTGAAAAGATATCTCCAATTAATGCCCCCCACACACACATTCTGTTCTAGTGCTATTCTGGCTCTTAGGGGATAGAATGGAAGGGGAGACGCTATCCTGTATTCACAATAATTTTACATTCTAGTCTGTGTTGAAAGATATTTTCAAGAAGCACTCCTTTACACAATTCATGGGAATAAAAAATGGCAGGGCTTCAATAGCTGTGATATTTTCTGTGTACTAAGCCTGGGACTGGAGGGAAGAAAGCACTCTGCTAAAAAAAACCCCACTGACTATAAGTGCCCTTATAGCCAGTATTCACATTAATCACATCTTTTCAGTTACTGCATCCCTATATTATTCAAGACATAGAAAGAGATAGTGTTTTGGTGGCAGTGGGGTCCCTTTTTCCTTATAGTGATATAACAATGCCTGTGACTGAGCCAAGATTGACCCTACCAGTGCTAGTCCAGAAAAAAACACTGGACATTGGTTTATGTCTTCTTTTACCATCCATACACTTGCTAGCTTTGTTTTTTATCATGGTGCACAAATGAAATGAAGGAGACTCATGTAGCTTTTTTTGACTGGAATTCCCACAGAGAAAATGTATGTCCCTGCTCAGGATTAGTTTGGAAGAGAAAATAAATCTTGTGAAGGACAGGAGACTTGAACAGGCAAAGAACACTGCATGTGGACAAACAACTTTCAATACCTTACTTGCTTGATCAGTATTATTGATATCAGAGGCAAAAAAAAAAAAGCCTCATTGGACTGAAATCCATACTGCAAATATCAGAAGACAGTTTCCATGTGCTCGCATGTGACAAACATATAAATGCCAGGCATATGTTTTTCAGCCTCAAGATCTAATCATGTATGCTACAGTCATGTGAATTGTAGAAAGAGCCCTTCTGGAAACTTCTTAATCACAGAGTGGGCCTTTCTGTTCTATATGGAATTGTGCTATAGCTCATGTTACTGTAGAGAGCTGTCTATGAAGAGCAAAATATAAACTGAATAAAGAACAGTGTTCAGTTGCATGGTTCCTGAATGCACAGTGGATTATTTTTTGGTCAAGAAATTAGAGGAGAGTGAATGATGTCACCAACGTTCATTGCCAATATTAAAGCCTGTAGTAGATTCAGCCATGTACCCTTCCTGTTGGCAGAGTTGATAGTGGCATGCAGTTAAATTATAGATTGGTCTATTTCTTACATCCTGGCTTTGATGCTGCAAAGCAAATAAGTGTCATGAATATTGAGCCTGCAGTTGTAATTATTAGAGTGAAAGATCTGACTTTTGCCACCAGAAAGCCCACCTATGTTGAAATACTTCTCTTGTGTTTGAAAGATAATGGTTTCTTCTAATGAGGGTAGGAATTTTAAAATAATATTGTTTGGAGAAAAGGTGATATTCATATATGGGTGAAGGGCTTGAGAACAGAGGGTAATTCTAGCACTTTTAAATATTTATAGCACTTTTTTCCTTGTTTTTCTATCTAGAACATTCTGTTTTCACCCCCACCCCCATCCTATCTCCACTTATAGAATGTAGATTATTGGTTGGATGTATATGAAGTCCCAGAGATTGGTGCTTAGAATTCTAGGAAGGGAATGCCTCATAGCATTTAGTAGTTGAGTTCCTTTGTATGTTTTGAGTTTAGATTTTGTCAATTGCAAAGTAACTTTCATTGCTTCCATCACTAGAGTTTTTTCTCACATATATCTGACTGTGAGTCCAGAATAACAGTCTGTGGAGATTGCCCTATTATCTGAATTGCGGATTCCATGCCCAGGCTTTAATATGACTGGTAGTACATTGCTTTTGGATGCTGAATTACAATGTTCTGATTCTTTGGGGCATAGGGATGTGTGAAACTCACTGATTCAGGAAAGCAGCATTCTGGAGAACTCTGGAAACTGTCTTTAAGCACAGCATGGTCTAGAGGAGGATCTATTATGTTTCAGGCTGTTCTTGAATTACTGAGTTTTGTACGTCCCTATTGGGACAATAACTTTGTAATTATTTTTCCATATCCATGGAATTTGTGGATTTGTCTTGTGCTAATTCTCTAATTGGTATGAGATTGTCTTACTGAAATGGAAGAATCTGAGAGAATACAGGTAGTGCTATAAGTGTGATCCTCTATAGACACCTGTACTGTAGTTCTGTCATGTTTCATGTTTTCATTGGCACAACAATTATACCAACATATTTTTCCTTCTGTAGTATCTTTAGGTATTATAACATAACATAATTTCATCTATGGAGTATCTCAGCTGCCTGTTTATGTCCATTCCCACATTTCATAAACTTGAAGCATACTTTGAATGTTTCAGATATGTCAACTATGCTAGAGTTTTGAATTTTAAGAGTTTGTTGAATATTAACACAGAAGACAGCACTTTTTTTTCAGACAGATTGAACCATGTGCAATCTCACAGAAGCCAAAAAATTGAAGTGTGCAGATGGCCTGAGTTCCAAGTGATGTTTTTGTGGACCTGTGACAAAAAT